GTGTTTGGTGTATTGTGAAGGCCAGAGGTCATCTTCAGATGTTTCAGATGTTACTTTTCTGGGGCCATCCACTCTGTTCTCCAACATCTTTTTTGAAAAGCGGATCTCTCACTAGGACCTGGAGCTAGCCAGCTAGGTTATGCTGGCCAGCACGCCCAGTGATGGGGACTATAGTGCTCATCATCAAGCCCCAACTTTTGTCTGGGTTCTGGGAATTGAACTTGAACCCTCATGTTTGCAAGGCAAGTACTCTGACCAACTGAACCACTTCCCCAGGTCAGCCTTATGGTTTCTTGTTTGGTTGGTTTTTTTGAGATAGGGTGTCTCTGTGTATCCCTTGCTGTCCTGGAACTTGTTCTGTAGACCAGGCTGGTCTCGAACTCACAGAGATCCTCCTGCCTCTGCCTCCCAAGTGCTGGGATTAAAGGCGTGCACCACCATCATCCTGCAGTCTTGTAGTTTTTAAAGTGTAATATAATTTTTCTCTTGAAACCTTTATCCACCCCACAATTTGGGTGATGAATACTGACACACAGTGACAATATGACTTTCTAACCAATGGAATCTAATCAGGACCCAGATGATTTATGAAATGATTATTCTTTCTTGGTGGGCACTTGCCTCCCCCCTTTTTGAGATTACTCTCTATCAACTTATAGAACTGTTCATCCTGTCATTATCTTGAGTGGTTAGATGAAAATGTACAAGTTTCCCATAGAATCGTAAATGAAGTATGCTCCCAATAAATAATTATTGTCCAGCCATGACTGTTAAACGTTAGCTATATTTTAAATTTTAATTAACTTATTGTGTGTGAGGCTAGTTGGGCGGGGTGTGAGTGCCACAGCACATGAGTGGAGGCAGAGGTGAAACTGTGGAGCCAGTTCTCTCTCTCCACCTTGACTTGGGTCCTCGAATAGAACTTAGGGTGCCTGCCTTGCACCATAACAGTTTTTACACAGCAAGCCATTCTGCTGGCCTTGGACATTAGATGCTTTAATGCATTTGTTATAATAAATCTGTAACTTTATGAATTTCCTATTAGTGCTGCTGTCACATTTGATCGATTCCTTGTTTACAAGCGACTGTCGTCTGCTCATGCTTGTTTGTACGCTTTCAACACGCTGCCGGCTAAACTCTTTCAAAAGATTATGATGCTCACTGCTAGGAATCGCTGGGTGAAGGATCGTCTGCTTGAACAGTGTCTGCTGGGCACATGCTACTCGATAATGTGTGCTGGGCACCGCTCTCCACAGAATAAATAATTACTAGCTTCGAATCAAGGCCTTTGACTTTCCTGCATTCAAACCTCTTTACTTTCAATCTGAACTCATAGAGAGCGGCTGTGCAGTAGACATGTAATGTAAGCCCCTTATATAAGTGTACGGTCCTCAGAATCGGCACTTGAAAACTGAAAACAATGCTGAAGTTAATTCTAATAATATATCCTCATTAGCTTAATATGCCGAAATATTTGCATTTTAATATGCAATCCATGTCCGTCGATGAGGTGCCTTACATCTTTTATTCACTTACTCTTTTAAAACATATGCACTTGGTACTTATAGTGCAGCCTAACTCAGGGGCTACTTTGTGTGTGTGTGTGTGTGTGTGTGTGTGTGTGTGTGTGTGTGTGAGAGAGAGAGAGAGAGAGAGAGAGAGAGAGAGAGAGAGAGAGAGAGAATGTGTGTGGTATGTGTATGGTACTTGTGTTATGTGTCTTATTCCTTTGATAGTGTCTTTCAGTGAACCTGCCAGCCTTCTCCCCTGCACCTCCCCGCCCTCCCCAGAGTAGGGGGTTACAGTCAGAGTGGCCATACCTGGCTTATTACATGATGCTTGGGATTCAAACTCAGGTCTTCGTGTTTGCCTAGCAAGAGCTCTTACCTGCTGACTTTAGGCGACATATCTTCACGGGAAATACTTGATCTGTGTTTAGATCGCAGAATATTGGGAGTTGAAAAAAGTAGATTCTAAAAGTTATATTCTTTCTAAGTAGCTTAAACATGTCCAAATACGGAATCGAACTGGTTTCTGAATTTAAATTATTTATGGTAAAAATCAATAAAAACTAAATTGACTTCCCAAGTGCTCAAGAGCCAAGTGCAGCTAGTGCCCATAGTGCTGGCCAGTGCAGTCATTAGAAAGCTTCTTCCCTGGGGCCAAGGGTCAACAGCACCCTTTAGCCACCAGCCATGTGAGTTTAGCACCTTGTCTGTCCTCGAGTCTCTTGTCCTGGCTACTTCACCTTTCCTCTGAAGCTTTCACCCCTGCCGCTGTCCTGTCTAATCCGTGCATCCCTGCCGCTGATGTCTGTCTAATCTATGCATCCCTGCCGCGTACTGTCTAATTCATGCACCCCTGCAACTGACTGTCTAATTCACGCACCCCTGCAACTGACTGTCTAATCCGTGCATCCCTACCACTTGCTGTCTGTCTAACCCATGCATCCCTGCTGCGGACTGTCTAATTCATGCATCCCTGCGCGGACTGTCTAATTCATGCACCCCTGCAACTGACTGTCTAATCCGTGCATCCCTACCACTTGCTGTCTGTCTAATCCATGCATCCCTGCTGCAGACTGTCTAATTCATGCATCCCTGCCCCTCACTCACTGTCTAATCCGTGCATCCCTGCCCCTCACTCACTGTCTAATCCGTGCATCCCCACTACTCGCTGCCTATCTAATCCGTGCATACCACATTTTGTGAATAGACTGGAAGAGAATCACTAAAACCCTTAAGACATTCCTTTGCCATTTATGTCTAGTCACAGCTGTAAGAAATTAGAATGGAAACTTTGCTGGTGGCCATTTTCATTATTGAGGACTAAGGTTAACAATTTTGTTCCTGTCCTAACCTTTTATGCCATTTGAGAGATCACACCAGGCATATAAAACAGAGGTTTTATGTTTGTTTGTTTGTTTTTTACCTATGAAAAGTACATTTTCACTATATACCAAGCCTAGAACTGTGGGTAGTACCATGAATTAAATGACATTTTTTCAAGGTAGAGTTAATTTTCATCTGATTAAATAGATTTATAGACCTGGGTTATTAAAAAATGATTCCCTTTTAATGTAGTTTCACCGCTACAAAAAGGGTTGACATAAAAAAGCAAGTGTCCTTCAGCATTATTCAGTAAATAACAGCCACTCAAATTTCAATATTTGAGCAAAAAATAGCAGATGTAGCTGGATAAGTTTTCAGTATGAAAGCCACTGGGCCTGGATCCTGGGCTCTCCTTTGAGCTCGGTCTCTAATTCGCCTTATCCCATACAGGGGTGAGCTCATAGGTCTTGTGACGGGTGCAAGATTGGACCTTCCCATACATCCGGGTTATCTTATTCTGTGTCTTACTAACCTGATGTGGCAATGGTCACGAATAAGCCAATTCAGTGGAAGTTTGTAAAACGGAAACAAATGTGCCTGTCAGGGTCGCCACAAGACTGAGGACACAGGCAGTGTGTGAACTCCATCCGACCAGCAAAACCCAAGCTCCCGATGGACAGAGGGATTGATGGCGATCCCTGTGGGGCAGAGCATCTTCTCAGAGAGCATCGGAGCACAAGGGACTTCTGTGTTAGCCGTGTTGGGGGGGGGGCTGCTGTGTGAGCGGCCTTCAGCCCATCAGAAAGTACAAACTCACACCTCAGTACATCCTGGTGAACCCAGATTTCCGAAGTGTGGCATTCCCGGGGACACACCATGATCCAGGCTGCTGTCCTGCAATTGGTTCCAAAGCCTAGGTGCTATTTGAGCAGTAGAGACCACCAAAGGGTTCTTGCAATTTGCATTTGCTTTGTGGCACTGAGAAATGTTTACAACATAGGATGCTAGAGAAATAAATACACAGCTGGTGTTCTAGCAGTGACTACACTGATAATACGTATACATATATGTGTGTATATATATTCCCTTGAGATATGTGTTTGCTATTTTTAGGTTCTTCTGGCCCATGTTTTAGGGGTCAAGTGTTACGTTTTCAGAAACAACTTTTAATGAGTCAGGATAAAAACCATCTGGTGCAGGAATTCTTCCTTCAAACGGATGCATTCAAGAAAGAAGAATTTCCCATCATCCCAAGGTTCCCATTCGAGGTTGAAGAAAGCTGTTCAACAAAATCCATCAATCTTGTCCTATCTGCCTCTCCTGTTGTCTTCCTGCCCATCCAGGAAGGAATTAAGGGGGGGGGGGGAACCACATTGGAAAGAAAAGGAATAGGGAGATGGCAAGGTTTGTTGTTTGTTTTTATCTTAGAGGCCAAGTGTGCAAAAACATCAGAGTAAGGACACATTGCATCGGGACAAAGTACAACACACGCGATGTGCACAGGACCTAAAAAGAGGCAGGTGGATGGACAGGCAAGAAAGCCATCTTAGAAGGAAGAGTTCCAGGCCACAGTCAGAGACAGCCTTCTACTCTCCCCGAAAAAAACTGGCCTAAGTGACACTTCCTTGTATCCCAGGAAGTGACGATCAGCCAGTGTAGACATCGTGATTCCCAAGTCTCACCCACTCCAGGGATGCTGTGGGATGCGGGGAGCCCTCTTCCACAACGCTTTCTGGGCCAGCTCCTTACGGGGGTCTGTTGTGCCTTTTGTGCAGTCCTGACCCTGAACACACCACCTCAGGGCAGAAGGGGACTCAGAGAAGGCTCCAGGGACGCTAGGCGTGAAAGGAGAGGGGAGTTTAAGGCTGGTACCCAATGCTCCCTCCAGTGACACAAACAAAATGCATAAAAGGGGTGTGTGTTGGGGGGGGGGGGTTCTGACTCAATCGATTCCACACACCGTGCCCCCCGTGCTGCTTTCAAAGCCACACAAGAGTCAAAATCAAATCGCGAGACTCCGGAGGTTCTGAGGGGACAGGCAGACCGGCGGGTGGGGCGAGGAGTCCCTAATGAAATCCGGGCGGGCGGAGGCGGCCCCGCATCCCTAATGAGGGAATGAATGGAGAGGCCCCTCGGCTGGCGCCCGCCCACCCGGCGGCGGCGGCCAAGAGCCTCGGGGGCGCTGCGTGCCGCGCCCGCCGCTCCGCGCGCACCGGCTCGGGCCGCCGAGGGCTCCGGCTGAGCTCGGCGGGGACGGCGCGGATGCGGCGGCGGCGACGACGGCGGCGCTCACCTGAGGCGGCGCGCGGGTGGCGCTGTCAGGGCCGCGCTCGCCCGGCGCCGGCTCCGCACTGAGGCTGCTCCCGGGCGCCCGCCCGCTCGCCCGCTCTCCGGTCCGCCCGTCCGCCCGTCCGTCCGTCCGCCCGCCCGGCGTCCCCGCAGCCCGGCCCCCCGCGTCCTCGCCCGCCTTCCCGCTCCGCGGCCTGCGGGAGCCGCGCGCTCCCCGGTGAGGCCTGCTCGCTCGCTCTCTCGTTCTCTCGCTCGTTCCCTCGCTCTCTCGCGCGCGCCCGCCCGCCCGCCAGCCCGCCCTCGCCGAAGCCCTCCGCGGCCCGCCACCCGCCGGACCCCCGGCTCGACCCCGCCGCCCGCGCAAGATGTCGGCGCGGACGCCATTGCCCACGGTGAACGAGCGGGACACAGAGAACGTGAGTTCCCCCCACCCCACCCCGAGCCTCCAGCGCGGCCACCTGGACGAGCCCGGCCTGTCCCCTACCCCGTCCTTCCCATCCATCCCCACCACCGGGAGGCCGGGGCTGCCCTCTGCTCGGAGGTGGTCCTGCCGGAGGGAAGGGGGAGATGGTGGAGGGCAGAGGGTGGACAGACAGGGTGGATTCGTGACGACCCCAGCCTTCTGGACCCCCCCACACCCGAGTGAATGGATGCTTGGCGACAGCCCACGAGCCAGCCGAACCTCTTAGACCGCGGCTGTCCTGGGATCTTCCAGCCCTTGGCTTTTTCTGGATCTTTTGAGTCCTTTGCAAACAAACATACACCCCACCCCACCCCCAGCACTGCCCCATGACTTTGCTTTTTGTAAAATCAGGTCCACATGGGGGGGGGTGTATTGGACACCTCAGGGATAATGAAGGCAATGAAGTAGAGGGCGTGTGTGTGTGTGTGTGTGTGTGTGTGTGTGTGTGTGTGTGTTTCTATCACTGTAGTGAGGAGTGGAAGAATTTCACTTAGAGCTTCTCTAGCCCCAGGGGGAGAGAGAAACTGTTTTAAAGCCCCAGGAAGCCAACTGGCTTCTTTTCCTCCATCCACTGTTGATGAGTCAGGGACAGGTTTTAAGTACCTTTTCCCCTTGGAGTGTCACCAGGTGCCTTTCTTTGAAGGGAGGATTTCCTTGTGTCTGATCAAATTGTCCTTAGGATCTTGTTGTTGTTGTTTTTTAATTTTTTAAAAAAAAATCAAGATTGAGATGCTCTTGGTATTTGAACTCTTAAAAACTCAGAGAACAAGGCCAATTGAGTTTTCACCTTCTGAAAAGTATGATGGTCTGTGCTCATGAGTGTGCAAGTTGCTTGGCAGGAAAGGTGTCTTTCTGTCAGGGTTTTAAAATCCCCAGGACATGTAAAGGGGCCCCGGAGGCTCCAGAGGGTCTGGTCTGATTGCCCAACAAGTGTTAAGGCGCCAGGGGGTTCTAGGTTTTGGTTGGCTGACCAGAGTTGTCTGGATGTCTGCTCACCTCATCAGTCCTCCAGTGCTTAATGTACCAGTGACTTCATAGGGGTGGCAAACTAAAAATCCTGAAGTGCTTTGGTGTTCTGAGACAAAAGATAAGGGAGGAAAGACAGCAAGCCTACTTCCTTAAGTGCTGGATGAGACATAAGCACGCTTGATCGAGAGTCGAGGATCACAGAAATCAATCTAATTATCTGAAGGGAAAAGAGTTAATTCTACGAAGAGCATTCATTGTTAGAAGAGCTAGGAAAATGTTGGGTGTGCTTTGTCCTCTCCTGTGCCATACACTTAAAGCGATAAGGACACCAAGGCTGTCACCATCACACATTACAGCTTAATTTGCATCAGAACGGTTGTTTTAGAAATTAAATTGCTGCATAATTTTCATTGGGAGGTTAAAGGAGGTTGAAGAAAAAAAGGTAAAGAATTTGGTGGAATCTATTTTTAAAGCCAAAGAATTAATTAAAAAAAAAAAAAGTCCTGTCATCCAAGAGTGAGGACGAGAAGTCAGATGATGACCTTTGTTTTTATGAACAGAATTCTCTGTGAAAAGCACGTCGTTTGGTTTGGGCTTGGGCTTTTGACTGCTACACCTCGTTTTAGGCTTGTAGGGTAGTGTTCTTTATACAGACATAAGATGGCATTCTAGAAGCATGAAGCAAGGAATCCTACTACACACGGCTTCACATGTAAGAACAAAAGAGCAGCGAGGGCACTTGAGAGCTAAGCGGGGATAGCGTGAATTGTGTGGCGCCTTCTGAGCATGGCTGTGCCCTGTAAACTCACCTGCTTTGTTCCTGAACCTGCTTCCTCGGAGGCCCTGCATGGTCCTGTTTCTACTCTGGTACATACCCATCTCTCTGTGTAGCTTACTTTATCTACATCCTAATTATCTCTTGATTGCTGTGGAAAATATCTACTCTGCTATGGCTGTTAATTAATCAGTGAGTGTGCACTTAACTCTGTTTGGAGCTTAAAGGGACTGCAGAAGCGCTCAAGACAAGGCCTCTCCCTACTAAGAGCTGACAGAAGAGATAAATGCAATCCCAAACAGTGTGCAGTAGAAGACTGTGTATAGCCAGGGCTAAATTGGCTTGTAAGTGTTCTAGGTGTTTATCAAAGAGGTCACCACTGGAGACTGTTAAATGACCACTGAAGTCATAAATGGCACTATCTATGTTTCTTACCTCCCATCAGTGGAATACAGTAACAAACCTGCTTGTCAGTGCATGTATTAATGTCAGCATGGTGGCCAAAATACATGTTTGCTTGTACTCATACATACTCTTAAGTAGATCCATATATGATATAGTTTTAAAAATAATCTATAAAAATGTTTATTTGTATAAATTATTAATGCCTACTAGGTCTTTAGAATATTAGACAGTAGCCAAGACACTATTGCCCTTAGAAATTAAAATAAAAAATACAGTAATTTTTAAAAATCACTATTATATTGCAGATAACATAAACATTTCTTAAGCATATGTATGTATATATATATACATACACACACACACATATATATAGCTAGCATGCGTATGACATATTTTGTGTCCTCGAGAATATATGCTATTTCATCTTTTCCAATATCATGGATGCATAGTCAAGATTTACAATTCCAGGAGGGAGTGTGTGACCCTGCTGTCCAGCCTCCCACCGTGCACAGCAGAGAAAGAATTATTCTTGGGGAACATTCGTGTGAACTTCCAGCAGTCTTCTTAGATGACAGTTTGTGTGCGCCTTGCTGCGGGCCTCTCCTGGCTACATACCACAGGAAACAGAGAGTGGCTTTTAAGGCAGTAAACACTGTAGTGAAGCAGGAGAGACACGTTACAAAGTATAGGATCTCTGCTAAATGTGTTTGATTTTAGGTTGTAAAGAGTAAGTCTAGAAAAATGGAAACATGTTTGAAAAACTTATTTATCTTTTCTTTCTTTTTTTTTTTACTGTTAGGTCATTCTGTATAATTGCGGTGTGGATTTAGGAACTATATTAAAATATGTTAATACATATATTTCTCTCTTCAATGAAACAAGTTTATAAGTGTTCTGGAGAACCTCTGATGACATTGGTGTTGATGGGTCAGCAATGCCCTGGCTGATTTTCTGTGCTGTGTTTCTTATTAGATACCAGTGTGAAGAATGCCAATGTGATTATTTCTTGGGATGTCTTAAAATTACAAGTTTGGATAAGTTCAAAAGCCACGAATAAACCTTCCCCCCCCCCCTTTTTTCCCCTGGTGTATCTTTTGATGCCTGGAAATTCATGTGGTAACTGTAACAAGCTGTTGTGCAGGTTGGTCAGGGGCCATAGTTGTGTGTGAATGGAAAGACAAGTGAATTGGGCACACTCGGGACTCTCTGCATGAGTCCCAGTACCCGTCCTGTCGCAATGCACTTGCTGCCTGGCTTGTCTCCTCCGTGCTGCCCTTGCCTGGCTTAGTGACTAATGTGTGTAAGAAATCAGTGCTGTAACATTCCCTTTTGAATCAGTTCATTTGTCATCAAAACGAAGGGTAGACTTTACAATACACCGCCCAAGACCTTCAGAGAGTCAAGTGACCTGTCCAAGGTCATGATAGATCTCTGACCTCTTAAACTGTTGCTCTGCTCTGGCTATTGCTTCTGGGGAGGTGGCTTGTTTAGTTTCGGCTTAGAGGTTTAAAAAGAACACAAAAGTCCCATATGGGAGGAAGAACAGGATATGCTTTTCTTAACGACTTCTGGTCCTTTATGACTTATCGCCTGCCGTGCCCTGCCCTGTCCCCCTTATCACACACTTATAAATCCTTTGTGGCTTGGCTTGCAGCATTCGGCTGAGATCACTGCAGCCATCCTTGCTTGCTTTTGTAGCTCCCACTGGTGAACTGTATGAAGTCCAGGTTCACGTTCTCCAGAGTGGGCGTCCAGACAGTTCACTGGGGAAGGAAAGACTTTTAACTGTCTTTTTCTCGATCTTGATGTTATTATTCAATCTTCTTATTTTGTTGCCTCTTTTTTTTTTTTTTTTTTTTTGGAGTGTTTGTAGGCGGGTACCATTGCATGAGGATGGAGGATGGAGGTCAGAAGATAACTTTGAGGACTTGCTTCTCTCCTTCCACTGTATGAATTGCCAGGCTTACGTTGTAATATTGATGGTAAGCCTAGCCATCTCGTTAGCCTTCTTTGTTTTCTGGAAGCCTACAATGTGCACAACTAGCTATTTTGCTTGATTTTTCAGGTAACGATCCTCATTACTTGTGTCTATCTGAGGATTTCCTCTGGAGCTTGTTTTCTTTTCCTGATGAAGATTTGAAAGTTCTTTTGGTGAACCTGGGCATGGTGGCATATGCTTTTAAACTCAGCATTCAGTAGGCTGAGGCAGGAGGATCCCAAGTTTGAGATCAACCTGGGCTATAGAGTAAAACCCTGTCTCAAAGGAGAAGAAAAGTTGTTTTGGTTAATGATAGCCATTTATAATTTTGTTTGTCTGATCAAGACAGGGTCTCAGTATGTAGCCCTAGCTGTCTTAGAACTCACTATGTAGACCAAAGTGGCCTCAAATTCCTGCCTCTGTCTCCTGAGTGCTGGTATTAAAGGTGTGTGCCACTATGCTCAGGTTGTAAATTATTTTTTAAAATTTGAAAATAGTGTGCCTTTTTTATTGAAAGACAGCTTTGCTCAGTCTATATCTCTGGATTGTTGGTTTAATTTCTTTTAAGGGCTCAGAAAATATTTCCCATTGTCTACCCTCTACATTCTAGTAGAAGTTGTCTCATAACTGACAAGCTGTCTTCTTTTCTTTAATGTTTATTTAGTTTGTGTTGGTGTTCTGCCTTGTCTGTCTGGTCCCCTGGAACTGGAGTTACAGACAATTGTGAACTGTCATATGGGTACTGGGAATTGAACCTGGATCTTTTGGAAGAGCAGTCAATATTCTTAACCACTGAGCCATCTCTCCAATTGCTTTCTTTCTTTTT